CATCCATAAATAGTTACGAAAGAGCCACTCATGTGTCAATTTGACACAGCACAAAAAATATCTTAATTGTAATTTTTTTTCCTGGCTCAATGTAAAACTAACTAGGTGTAATTTCTTTTGGTTTTTAGTATTTACTTTTACTTTTATTGATATAGTGCCGAAAAATGAAATGAAAACTGAGGAAATAAAATAAATCATTGCGCCTCGAGTGTTTTCCCAAATAACGAAACGGTGCTCCATCCAGACAAACTTTTTCACATTTTTCGAATTCGACGGAATGTATATTGGCAACCCGCAGTAGAGGGCATACATATGTGGCACCTGCCCGCTTTCTCGACGGAGTATGATGCACCTTGCGCTGCTGGGATGATTTATGTAGGTGTTTCCGGCAGTTGTGATGGTGGTGGAATGGCACGAATTTGATTTACCACCGTCAAGACATACTCACTTCTCGGTGTGTGTTCCCGATGCTCCACAACAGTTTACTCTCGAACAAAAGAAAAGCAGACAAAGTGTCAACGCATCGTAATGCCGGTACAGTAGCACCTGAACAAACCCCAAAAAGATCAAATTTATGGTTTATAGCAAAAGTAAACCCCGTAAAATATACTGGAGTCATCCGAAGTGAGGAAACTGTTTGGCGTATATTTACAATTCGGTTCTTCCAAAGAATATAGTATGCTCTGGTCTTTCGACAACAATGCAATGTTAGATTCTGCTATCATGTTTTGCCTGGTTTCCTCTTCAGTGAAGTCAACTTAACTCCTAATGGAGTTATTTCATTACGTAATAATTTCCAACAAAAAATCGTCACTGTCGCAAAACTCAGCCTCCACGACGAAACGTCCGATAACGGAATGAGGCTGATGGACTTCGCAGAAACATGGTAATATGTACTACTAGGTTCCAGCATAAGAACATCCACCAAGCTCCAGATCAAAAACGAGAAACGTTTTAGACTTACGTACACCCCGATGGCCCGGACCACTATCTTATAGTAGCCAAGATACGCACCCGCCTCTGTGCAGAAAAAAATGTGCAACATTCAACAATTCAAGGAAAGCTTAACGTCGAAAAGCTGCGCTCACAACAGTAGGCCAATTTATTCGCCACTCGCCTCACACACCTGCTTTCTGAGAGCACTCTCCAACAATGCGACATACACGAGCAATGGAATAACATTTTCCGATCATTAAGTACCGCCACCGACGAAGTAGTAGAATTTCAGCGAGCCCGAAAGAACAACTGGTACGATGGGGAATGTCAAGAAGCCACAGAAAAAAAAGACGCCGCTTATAGGTCCACGCATCGATCGGGCGCAAAGCGAGACATGTGGGACCGTTATAGCGAACTGAAGAAGGAAGCGAGACGTATTTGCCACAATAAGAAGAGAGAGGCCGAAATACGTGAGTGCGAGGACTTGAAATGCTGGCCGACAGGAAGAATGCCCGAAATTGTTACCAGAGAGTTAGGCGACTTACGGAAGGTTTCAAGACCAGGGCGTACTCCTGTAAGAACAACAATGGCGACCTAGTTACCAATGTTCAGAACGTACTTAAATTATGGAGGGAACACTTTTCCATCCTGCTGAATGGTAGCAGCACGGAAAGTTGTGGAGAAGAAGAACCCGAGCGCCCAGTCGATGATGACGGAGTCGATGTTCCTCCGCCTGACCATGGCGAGGTACGAATAGCAATAACGCGGCTGAAAAACAACAAAAGCCGCTGGAGCTAACAGCCTGCCAGCTGAGCTATTCAAGTACGGTGGCGAGGAGTTGATAAGATGCATGCATGAACTCTTGTGTAGAATATGGTCAGATGAACACATGCCCGACGACTGGAATTTAAGTGTGCTCTGCCCAATCCCCAAGAAAGGCGACCCCGTGCCAACTGTAGAAGACGTCGCAAGGCTCCACGCTTACTTTTCCTTGCCCCGTCCATTTCTTGGATGGCGGAGATGTCAGCCTTTGTCTTCCCGAGGACATCAACCAGCCGGGCAGAGGCACCTTCCCCATTACGGGTCCGGATATTCCAGGTGCATACCCTTAAATCATAGTCCTTTATACGTTTGCCGTGGTCGTCATCAGAAAAAGGGGGTCTCATCCGAGGCTGTTTTTTTTCTTTTCATTGGGCGGGGTTTTAACGTGGCGGGAGCCAAACCCAGCGCACGCGAAGTTTTACGCCTTCTCACTTTAGCTCGCTCCCAAACGGGTGTTTGGTTGCTACCCAGAGGATACGTGGATATAATAACCGGACGTTGTGAGCTGCGATTTGAACCGTACGCACAAGAATCGCTTCTGGCCACTCCCAGGTGAATGGCAGTCAAAAGTTTTCCACTTCTGCGCACGGAACCATCCTTTTTTTAGAGATTTGTAATTTGCACATTATTATACTAAAATTTTATGGGCTACAAAACTGCATACTTGAAATCTTTTTAGAAATTCGTAGTAAAGAGATCGCGGTTTTGCTGAAACTTTGCAGATTTTTCTTAATTTTTGTAAACAGCATCATTTTTGGATTTAAATGGGATTTGCTAAAACATAAGGCATATTTTAAAATAAAATTAACAAAAAAACTTTAGCGAATATTAACAGAAAAGAGCCGTACGCTCAATTTCGGAAGTAACTGTATGTACATACATATTTATATACATTGACGAGCAAAACTGTAACATGGTGTAACGCTGTGGTGTGGCTGCTGTAAAAACAGTAATAGTGGCTCCAGCGCTACTTGCTACTAAGTTCACAATATATCGGACCGTAATATTTTTTGGCAGACTTACTTTGTCCTTAGTAACACTTTAGGCTATATTTTTTCTGC